ACAGAACTGAGAAAAGAAGTCTAATTGAATTTCCTTGATTAATAATAATAAATGTAACACGTTTTACAGATCTTGAAGTGATTTCCTTATCCTAAGAATATTTTTAGACGTCCAAGTCAATATGTTCAATGCCGAATAAATCCACAGGTTGTACTCCAAGCAATGTTCTAGCATGACGTTGCTTCTTATAGCCAAGGGGAAGTAAGAATTGTACAAGTATTTACCGCTGGATCATGAAAATACACGATCACACATATAACTCTGGGTGAAGTTCAGTACCTCTAGAAGGCTTCAGCACATTTCTAGAGTGTCCACTGAGTATTATAAACCTTAGTCTAAGAGAGGACACTGGTTCTAACTGTGATTAGTTTGAGATACAAGAATTACTATACGTTATTAATAAATCTTTAATGAATGTCCTGTCTTATCCTAATTAAAATCCAAGACTAATAGGAACAATAACTATGCAAATTATATATAACTAGTAGGCCCGTGCAAAAAATTTGCAGAGCATATTGTTATCAAATGTTAAATTAATAAGAAAATAAAATAATGCAACCTACTAAAAGATAAAGAAACCAATTGTTACTTTAGCGATAAATATAATCGACAAAGGAAACAAACATTAATTTAAATCTTCATCAATGTTTGGAACCAACAAGTTTACAAATTTCAATAAGCTGTATCTTTTCTAAATATTGTCCGTTTTCGATGTTGTTGTTTTTTCCTTTTGCAGGAGCTTTAGTAATCTTTTATATAATCATGGGTACAACCAAAGGAAAAATGTGTATTTTTTTAGTCATTCGCAAATAAATTTTTTTTTCATAACTGTTCATAACTCGTTTGCCGGAATTTTTAGGATGATTGGACTATTTGCTGAAGGAGCAGAAAGCCTTCGAAATTGGAGGCTCAATCTTGAGATTTGGTGAAAATTTAACGATTATATTGCTTGCCGACAAAAACACCATCGATAAATAATATAAACTCCTCCTCTCTCGATCATAGATGTCTCAAGTCGACGAAATGAGACATGTATTCAATGACAGTACTATAATTAACGTAAAGTTGTGTGGATGCGAACCCTATGCCTTACGTTATCTCGAAAATAGTACGTTTTTGGCTTTAAAAACGCAGGATCCGATAGCTCCGATGGAACTATCCGGGTCTTACTGTACGCATCAAAATCTTCAAGGTCCAATTTGTCCCGTATCGATCTATAGTCCTACTACCGTTCCAGTATTGGAGCCTAGTAAAACTTTTGTATCGAGTTTATTTATTTTAAAAAGAAAAACAAAAGGGAGAATACGATTCGCTAACTCTACGTGAAATTCTGAATCTAACGGTACCCCCATTCATGGAATTTGAGTATGACAGGAGCTTATATTTGGTACAAAACCGATTTCGCGCCTTACTGTAATAATATATGTGGAGATTAGTGTGCTGTTGTTCCTGTAAATCCACTTCAACGTTCCGTCAAAAAAACAATACTTTTATATTTAGGGACTCCTTTCAGCCATTTTCATCGAAGAGGCGCTTGTACAAAATAATAACGTTTTAGTTAATTGAAAAAAACCCATCACGTTCAATTGATATTTTGAACTTAGTTAAAGAGATGAAACATCAAGGTATGTCTGCAATAAAATAGGCTGAAAAAAGTGTTTTTTCGTTATTTAACAAATGTATTAATTTTTGACGGTATGTTCCTGTATAGTTATTTGAACGATGCATACCATCCTGAGATGGGTCTTTGTTCTGAGATACTTACGAGTCTAACAGCGAAATCCAATTCTTGCACGTACTGAGACCACTTCTTTCCTTAATATCTACAGAATGAGGCTTGTATACAACTGTTGTATGGTTTTATTACATTTATATTTTGTTTTTTCTTTTTCGTCGGAGTATGTTTTATTTTTCATTTTTCCAAAATATAAATACCATAAGTTAGTATGGGATGATATCGCATTCTGTGACGTAGAATTTAGATACGCAGTAATACACTACCCATGTGGAAAACTGTCTGATAAAGAATTAAATTCTTATCATTCAATGACAGAAGTAAACATTGTATTTAGATTTTCCTTATTCTAATCACTAACGAACATTAAATGAATACTTAAAGATAAGAAGAACCTAAACGTGATAAAAAAAAATTAGACCTTATATTGTTGATTGCTTTCCACGTGATAATTTTTGAAAACGTTTATATAAATCGATGACACAACTATTTATGTTGACAATTATCATTGACAAAAAAGTGCCAAAATAGTGAGCCTGTTTACATTACGTCAACGTGTATTTATGCCAAATTATACGCCTATAGTTTAACCAATTATAAGTGCGAAAATGGTCTATCTCTTTTATTTATTTATTTTTCGTCATCCCTTCCTCGTCTTTTAGGCTAAATGGTGTTTTTCATGTATATGGCCACGTGAAGTGGATGGGGGATTAATTCTAGAAGCCCGCTCCTCCTCCCTCCGGCACAGGTACGCGAACTCATTATTCAATTATTAAAAAATATATTATATTACTAATTATTAAGAAATAATTATTTTTGGCCAATTATCTTATATCAAGTTGCGTGGTAACACGGTGAATATGTGTTAGCCCGTTCGGCGTCCCGCCACCGAAAATGATATATTTGAAACTGAAGATAATTTATGAAAATAAATAATATTTTATAATTGAGTAATACAATATTTTACAGATTCCTACCATATATATATATATATATATATATATATATATATATATATATATATATGTTTTTTGCTACAATACAATATTTTACATATTACATATATATCCTAAGTCCCATGTTTAGGTAAAGGGCAGCGAATATGAAAATATTCCCCATTTTAAATAATAAGCTCCTTTAAATAACCAGTTTTTCTTCCATGTAATTTGATTATGAGACTATTTTCATATTAGTAATCATTTACCTGTGACTGGATAGATGTTCAAAATGAAAAACAGTAAAAACATACGTTTGAACAAGAAAGGAACATATCCAAAAATAACAGAAAAATTCTAAGCATAACAGTTCTAACAAGATCATAGGTGAATCTCGGTTTCATAACAAAAAAATATTACAAACAAATTGATTATAACGGAAAATAGAACGCAATTATATTATTTTGCGTCAAAGGTTTTTGAAAAAAATTAGATTAGAGTTTGAAACAACTGTTTCATGAATATAGCGGTTTTTAAAACTAAGCCCTATTTGTTTTTTACTAAATATCATTAACGCATAAAAAAGAGATTAGAATTTAATTAATTAAAATTTATAGATTTCATTGGAAAACACGTAGTAATTTATTTCAAAGGATATCTAAACTAATTGCCTTCATTTGAACATTCATTCTATAGGCACAATATTTTAACAGATAATATTTTTTAACACGATAATATTTTGTGAAAAAATAATTAATAATATGATGTATGAAATCAATATTTAAAATTATTGTAAGATTTGGCAAGCAGGGAATTGGTTAATTAGGATTGAGAATTCCACGTCTGTGTATTGTCGATTATGTAATAAAATCAATTTCGATAAATTCAAATGTAAAAGCTTTTAATTGGTTTTGAACGTTCTAAAGATTTTTATGAATGTTAAAGGTTGAAAAGATTTTGGTAATTAAAGTAAATGATAAGAAAAGTTACCGAATAAATAATGGTGGAAGTTTCGAACGAAAGATTTGTCTACATCGTAACATAAAAAAAAGGTTTTTTATTCAAAATCTAAATAAAAATAACCCACTTAAGGACATCCATTTTCCGAATTCGGTTTTACATCTTAAGCTAAAAAATAATACTAGATATTCTATGGCGAAAATTCGCTGATGAATGTTGAATTAATTCATGTTCGTTTCAATGGGAATAATGAATCCTCTTATGTGTGTGGATGTATATATATACATATACGTACCCTCTGTCTACCTCTGACCTACTCCAATTTTACAAAGTATACAATTATACATTTAATTCTACTACTCTTTGCTCAAATATGTAATTTGCGTGTATATTGTAGTTAAGATTTTCGTGGTCATAAAAATTGCATCACCCAGTGAAAATTTTAAATTTTATTTTATTTACCAGATTGCTAACTGCAAGATCTCTGGTTATTTCTTTGCCAGTTTTGAAGCGATTTCTAAAATCAATGGCACCATTTAGCAGTCAAATTGTCTGTTTGTTTTATTCTTCTCCCAGTTTCTTTCTTTCACTCCATGGTTTCCTGAGGAAGTTTTTTTTTCAAAGCTATGACTACTGTTGATTAGTGGCACACTTTCCTCTTCGCTGTTTCCCGTGAAAATTCCTTCGCTTTATCTAGCATCACAATTTCAATTAGTCGACTCCAACCAAGTTCATCCGAGCGTTACACATCGGAAGTCTGACGGCTCTGTGCACAACGCGCCTAAAGAAGTTTTCACTTCAAAAACTAACACTATTTTCGATGTCTGAAATAAACATTTTCAATAAAGAAATCAGACGAGTTAGTGCATGCAAGTAAACATCAAAAAAGTATTATTCGACCAATAAACCAAACACGAAACAAATTGAAGCTAGTCTCACACTACTGAATAATGAATGATAAAATAGCGAGAAGACGTAAAAAAATTGATAATATTAATAAAATCGTTTAGTAGGTTACTTATTACACAATCCATATTGATAAAAAATCGTACCAGTTATAAGTGGTAGCAACAATTCATGATTCCCCGAATGTTTACTGTTCAAGTAAGAAAATCAAAGACATAACTTAAAAAATCATAAATAAGGGGAAAAAATCTTTTACTAGGATACACACAAAGTCTCTTTACTGCGATGACATCATGGCTACTGTCCCGACTACAACATATTTTGGTTACTGCTTTCGGTTGAAACGCAACAGACCGTTTGAAGAGCCTAAAATAACAGATTATTTTATTTAATAAACACTCATGATGTCATCGAGTGCCGATATGAGATGTTTTTTTTCTATGTGTTTTATCTTGATGAATAATCATTGATTCCCAAAGCTTGTCAAATTTAAGTGTGGCTGGACAGGTATAAAACACCACTGGCCGACAAATCCGAATTATTAGCGTTTCTGCCTCCTGTGAGCAACATCAGGTAAGATCCTTAACAAACTTTACCTTTAGCGATATACCTAGATTCTATATGATATAAAGAATTTTAGAATTGCTACATCGTTTAATATAGTAAAATAAACTTTATTACAGAATGAAAGTTATATTACTTGTCGCCAGTTTGGCTTTTGCAACTGCAACACCAGCAATCAAGGAACAGTGGACGTCTTTCAAGGTTAGGATTGATAATGAATATTATATCGGAATTGTGATCATGTTTAGTTCCATAATCAGAAAAAAATAAAATTGTTTATTTATTTTCTGTAGAGGCACCATGGAAAAAAATATGAAAACACTGAAGTGGAACGACTTAGGATGAACATTTTTTCAGAAAATCTGAAGAGTATCGAAGAACATAATGCTAAATACGAAGCTGGATTGTCAACTTACTACCTTGAGATGAACCACCTAGGAGATATGGTAATATATCGAACATTTGTGAATATATTTGTCTGATTTAACATTTGCATAGGATACAAGCGAAATAACATACTGCAACTATTGTGTTCTATTCCAAAATAACTTCAATACATTTCTTTAAACGTCCAACACGGATTTAAATCCTAATTTGAAGCAATAATTGGCTTTGGGTCTATCAACTTTAAATATGAAAACGTGTATACATAATCATTGTCGGGATATTTTGTTTTCAAAAAAAGCGACAAGGCTCAGCCAAAAAAATAATTATTTGGAGAAAAGTCAGTGGAATGAAATCAATCTGGTATAAAATCAATCTTCAACTAACTTATTTTTTTACTTACAGACCTGTTATTAAATAATCTTTCAATTAATATAAAATTATCATAAATAAAAACAAGGTACAATTTTAATTTATCGAGTTTATTGATTCAATACCGAAATGTCTTATCGTAATGAATTGAGAAACATAATGAATTTGACCGAAGCTATTTTAATTTTTAAAAAAAAGTTTTTATTTTCTTCATGCCATATTAATTAATGTTTCTGATATTCCAACGTTACTACATGAGATGTGGTGAGTTCCACAGGCGGATCTACGGAGGGGGAGCTTTCGGGCTGAAGCCCCCTCCCCCTCCAAAATGGTAAAATATAACCATGTTTTACAGAAAAAAATATTAAAAACTATCTCTTAAAGTATTCTTGTTCGTGTAATTATATTTAATATGACTTCAAGAACCACTTAAACACCATTTCATATAGGTAATTAATTTCTTTATTTTTTAAAAATTAATTATCGTTACATGTATATGAAAAAAAATCTTTCGGGCCGAAACCCCTCCTCCATCCCCAAAATTAAATCCTGGATCTGCTAGTGGTGAGTTCTAATGTATGTTTCTTTTCATCTCTTAGCTGCCAGAAGAAGTGACCCAGTTGGGATTCAACAGAACCGGAGACATGAGGCAAGTACCCAGCTTCACATTCCTTCCTCCAGCAAACGTGGAAATTGCAGAATCTATTGACTGGAGGCAGTCTGGTGCAGTCACTCCAGTGAAAAACCAAGGTCATTGTGGATCTTGTTGGGCGTTCAGTAGTGTAAGTTCACTAAAGGGTTTTATTGTTAATAGAAATTAGTAGAAGACATGTATAATGATTTTTGATTTTTATATTTATATTTAGACTGGAGCCATAGAAGGCCAGCTTTACAGGAAGTCCGGAAAACTCGTCTCTCTCAGCGAACAGCAGCTTGTGGACTGCTCAAGAAGTTACAACAATAAAGGATGTAAAGGAGGATTGATGGACTATTCCTTCAGATATCTCGAAGATGTAGAAGGATTGGAAAGTGAAGATTCATACCCATATGAAGGAATAGTAAGATATTTTTCTACTGAAAGAATAAAATTAAATTATTTCTTTACACAGTTTGTGTAAAATACATATTATGAATATTATTAAGATTTACAATTCTTCTATTAGGACAGCACCTGTAGGTACAATAAGAACAAAGTAGTTTCTGGAACCAAAGTCAGAGCTTACACTGATATCAAAGCTTATGATGACAATGCTCTCAAGGCTGCCGTAGCAACAGTTGGACCGATTTCGATTGCAGTGAGTGCTGGCAACCAACACTTTATGTTCTACAAGGGAGGTTAGTATTGTTCTACATAGGTTCAAAAAGTATATTTTGGACTCATCGACAGCAAACTAACTAAATATGGATACGATTTTAGGTGTTTACAACGGCGACACTTGCATCCCCTACTACTTAGACCACGGAATCCTCCTGGTAGGCTACGGATCTGAAGACGGCGAAGACTACTGGCTCGTCAAGAACTCCTGGGGCGCAGTATGGGGAGAACAGGGTTATATGAAGTTGACAAGGGCCAAGAAAAACGCCTGCGGTATTTCGACCAAGGCCAGTTACCCAATTCTAGCATAAAAGTTATTTATTTTATATCTACTTAATTTATTATTTTTTATATTTTCAAATACAACCATTACCAAATAAATATTTTTTTTTCTTTTCACAAAATACACATATCCCCAGATCTTCTATATTACATTACAGTTATTAACGATATGGTATTAATTATATTTCAATAAGTTGACAGGCGCAAATACATATTTTATAAGACAAAAAAAAAATTATATTTTATGATGACAATTTAATTGGCAAGCTTTCTCTCGTTTTTATATCTCAAGCTATGAATATTCTGTGAATGTTTTGATTCATATTATTGGTTTATTCTGTTCTTAAATTATTCATAACATCCTCACTAAACCTATTACAAGACTTACAATCAAACATTAATTTTCTATTATAAGTTTACATTCGTGCTTTACCAACATTATTATTATTAGAGTCAGTTCTTTCAAGAAATCTAAATCCTTATATGTTTATTATTTATATATATATTGTGAATAATAATACAATCTGCTGCTTTTGCAGGGCAATAAGTATTAAGGCTGAAAGTTTTTATTCATATAATATATTCAAATAATAAACAAATAACTAATTATTTAATTAAAAAAATAGTAAATAAATAAGAAAAATAAGTAAAAATAAAATAAATCTTCTTAAACTGATCCATAACTATGTTCAATATTTACATTCGCCCAGAAAACTCCGAGCCAAGTTTTGTCCCCCACATGTGGAAGGAAAAGCAGGACTCTCCAGTGCCTCATTTCCAGCTCACTGATATTGGAAGCCAGTGGAATCTGAAGGAGGGTAGTAGAGGCACAGACAATTTGGAAAAATTATTAATATTAATTATAACTTTTTACATATATTTTTTTAATAAAGCAAGCATGTTTTCATTTCTACCATCTTTGGCTTCAATTATAATTATAGACCACGACTAGCTGTTTGAGTAGAAACAAACAAAACCACAAATGATACATAAAAATACAAAAAAAAAAAAAAAAAACTCAGAGTAAAAATTAATTTGTTTATTGAAAATTACACGAAATCTACAGTGTAAGCATTAACATTTTGAATAAAACCTAAAATGTTATAATTCCATAAAAATATTGTCTTAACCTAACTCCCATTTCACATGATCAATGCCATATTTCACAGTCATTATATTGTTGACAATTATTTATATAAATTTTAATTATCAAATGAAATTGAATAAAATTGATACTAGGTAATTTCTATACAATTCTCCAAATTTCCTCTAAGTTTGGGTCTAATCGAAGATTTCAAACTTCTCCGTTTAATATGTTTTAAGTTCTTATTAATTAAATTGAGGTTTATAAGTCAATTTTTTGAGATTCACCTCAAGTTGTGTAAAGAAATTATGTCAATTTCTATTGAGTCAAATAATAGTGCTCATTATTTCAGCAAAAATGAATGACTACAATTAACTGTTGCAAAGCTTTTGCTTATTGTTTTTTCATGATCTGGGATTTATTTTAAGAAACCTAAATACACTTTTTATTTATAAATAAAAGAAATAATAATAGTAATGATTTTCTTTATGTATGAATAAAAGAAATAATAATAATGATTTTTGTTTATATTTTCATGCAAAGTATTTACGAAACAGTGTTTTTTTTCAATATCTCTGTCATAGGAATTGATCAGTATTTATAAGCGACATATTGAATGTTTCTAGTCGTAAAATTTACCTAAAAAACAAAACATACCCTCCTGATTGCTTCAATTATTTTCATAAAAACATAAATCTTAGGAATAGAAACATGAAATTTGTCAATTATATAAATACGGATCAACTTCTTTTAAAGAGATCTGAGAGAAAATTACAGTTTTGTAAACACTTTACATGAAACGTATTTAACAAATCATTATTATATATGTTTTTATATATAAATTAAAAGTGTGTCTAGGAAATTATTTTATTATAATGTTTCCAAGATCATAGAAAACAAGAAATAAATGATTTGCAACTCTTACTTGTAGTCAATTTTCTTGAAAACAGAGGTACTTTTAGGTGACAAGATGAAAAATCTTTGTGCAAAAAAAATAATACATATAAATATAAATATATATATATATTACTTATATACAGGGTGTCCCGTAAGTAGATGGAATTGTTTATAGGAGGGATAACAGACCTCCAGAGCTACAAAAAAGTTTATATAAACAATGGATCAATTATCATCATGAAGCAGCAAATCCAAGTTTTGTCGTTTTTTGAGAGTTATGTGTTTTGTTGAATAGGAAGCGATAACTAAAGAAATATTAAATTTAAGTAACTAACAATTGTTAAAAAAACAATGTAGTGTCAGTTTTATTGAATTCTTTCCACTATTTTCTCCTATATAAGCACAAACGTTATAATAAGTTATAGGATGACCTCTAGTTTCGAAAGGAGCTCCCAAATCACAATTGGACGTCGATCTAAGATATGAGCCATAAGATTTCACATGATAGTAGCCACAAACGGAGCGATGAGTCTTTTGGGCCCAGATTTTGGAGGGAGGGAAGGAGAGAAGAGGAAGAAGTATTAACAAATGAATATTTCTTCATACTTGGTACATAGGACAAAAAGCCGACGGATGAGCATCCAGGCGTTGTATGGAGAGAGAAATGAAGGAAAGGTTATAGGTTCATTGGTTATATAAAAAGTCAAATTGATTGAATAATGAACCAAAAAGTATATAAAATATATTGATCACTTCGTGAATTCAACTCTTATCTCCTAGCTCTGAAATTACTAAATGCTGCTGGAGTAAGAAATCCATAACAAAAATGGATATCAAGAGTCATTGCTCTTACTGTTACTGTAAGTTTTAAGCATTAGTATACGTTATCACAATTAATGTTTATTACTAAGAATTATGCACATTGTGTACTCATATTTACAAGTTTATGCTGTATTTTTTACATTATAATAATATAAATAAAAATATTACTTCTCGATAAAATGCATGAATGCGCACATATGGCGAATTGGCGGGCATGTGAAATACGTAGAGACCGTTACAATTTTACAATTTAAGGTAAATTTACATATTCATAAACTCATTGTTTGTGTAAATAAATATAATTCAAAAAATAAAATGGTTTTACCTCAAAAAGATTACATTAAACAGGAAGAATCGTTGTACCCAATCGTTATTGGTTAATCATTTCGAGGTATGGTTTACTTGAAGTTTACTAGACAGATTATTTTATAGTTGATGACTGCAACGTTGTTTGAGCTTGTTGACAGAATTATAGAATAGTACCTTTAAATAAAAATTAATATAATTATTATAAGTAGCAAAAAATCTAAACAAAAACACGCTAATAGCTTTTATAATGTTTTTGTAGCATATAACCGTTTGAGAACTATGCGAAAGTATTTAAATTCCATGGTATTGTTTTTATATTTCCAATGTTCGCTCTACAGTAATATGAAGCCTACTTTATACTGTAGTTTTCCTTTTATTTCTATAGTTTTCTCCTTCTGTTGTGACACCTTATCCGTCAAAATATGAGAGATGCGATGAAGCGGTGCTGGAAACAAGAGATCCGATTGACCGTGGATGACAGATATGGAGGTCACGAGCAGCGCTGAATCACAAATGAATCACGTAATGACGTGACTGGATGTTACAAGATCCATATGATTGATGATGCTTAATATGTCTTAGAGTCGCCTTCGTTGGTCACAACCGGGTTACCGTTAGATCGACGATATCGGAGAGTATAATCGAATGATGTAATCGAATTTTAGAGCTGATGGAGAACAATGATTGGTGAGATTAAAATTTCTCAACAGGTCAATGAATAAGACCTACTGACAATTAAAATATAACAGTAGGCTAATTACTCAATATAACTGTTAATAGTGATTTCTCAATGTTTTATGTAAAATCTTTTCTTCAATTAAAATATTTATCACCAAATTAAATTAAAACTTGCAACAGGATTATATTTCGGAGCGTTTAGATTTAAATCTTTTATCTTTCCCTATGTATTTCCTATTGCATTTACAGATAGCCGACAGGTCAGACTTCCTTTTTTAGCTCATTTTAATGAACGAACTTTCGAAATTGCATTATCCATTATCCATTTTCAAGTCCAATTTTTTACACACATATCAAAAAATATAAAAAAAATTCACTACATCTGTAATTTCACTGTTTAATAACAATATTCAAAAATAAGACACACCATGATTTCATGTTATTTAAATTGATAAATAATAAAAGAAGTAGTAAATATATAATATAAGACAAAGAAACCTCCATTAATTAAAAATGTGATAACTATTTCTAATTGTATAAATTTGTATTGAAAATGGAAAAAATTGCATAGCGAAATTCGTCCTGTGTAGTGAGTGTCCTAAACGTTTTCCATTTAAAAGAGTATAAAAATATTTTTATTTATTTCTTTAAAAGAGTAAAGAAAAATCTAAAAGGTATGATATTTTTCGTGAAATTTATTAAAATTGGTAGACGTTTTAACATTTGAAAAAAATAGTAATACATTCAAAACAGAAAATTGACGTTCAAAGAAGATTATACATATTCAAAGAAAACAAAAAATGTATATATATACATATGTATGAAGGCTAATCTTTTAGAAAGTTTTACTTATAAAATTTCTAGTACTTATTGTATTTATCCAACTAATATTATAATAGCCTCATAGTACATCAACAATTTGCAATAGCTTATCTATTATTGGTCCTGTAATACGATATTGGCTAAAAATTTAAAACTTTGGATTTAGCCTTATAACGTATATTATATTATATGAGCATTTCGATACTTTTAGTGGTCATCATATTTTAAAATTTTCGGTTCACACATTTTCAAGCTTCGTGTATGTCAATCCGTCCTTCGGTGCTTCAACTACAGGAACTAATTGTTCGCCTTTGTGTTTTTCACCGTTGCAGAGGAGCAATCCCTCATTCTTCCAGCCCAACAACCTCATTCCTGAGATCCACGGTAAATACTGGACTGGAGAATGTGGAATGCAGAAATTTCACCGCGAAGGTTATCGCCCGGTCAAGATATCCTTTTATTTCGTGCTATCTGGGATCGCCGTGTCCA